GCAACACCGAGGGTTGCGATCCCGTTGCTGGTCACGAAAAAAAAAAAAAAAAAAAAAAAAAGGAAGAAAAGGACTACTGACAGAACTTTTTCAGAAGATGATAAGCAAATGAGAGGAAAAGAGATTCAAAGAACAGGGAACAAAGTGGTAAGCATTTGGGTAACTCAAAACAAGCATTGATGGCTACATGACACTAATACTAATTTGGGGGCTGCAATACCGGATAAAAATTAACTACATGCAAAGATCAGTTGTGTTTTATATACTAGCAATGAGCATGTGGAAATCAAAAATAAAAATACAATACCATTTACAATTGTTTTAAAAAAATACTTTAGTATAAATCTAAAAAATCATGTGCAGAATTTGGAGGCAGAAAACTACAAAATGCTGATGAAAGACATCAAAAAAGATCTAAAAAATGGTGACCCACACCATACCATGTTCATGAGTTGGAAGACAAAAAAGTAGAGGTTAATTCTCCCCACACTGATACACAAATTTAAGGCAATTCCTATCAGAATCCCAGCAAGGTGGTTGTAGTTATACACAAGATGATTCTAAAATTTATATAGAAAAGCAAAAGAACTAGAATAGCTAAACAATGTTGAAGAAGAAGAAAGTGAGAGGAATATCAAATTTCAAGACATTAAATAGTGACAGTAATCAAAAAACTGGTATTCGCAAAGAGACAGATGAACTGAACAAAATAAGAAATAGCCTCACATAAGTGCTGCCAACTGATACTTGACAAAGGTATAAAAACAATTCAGTAGAGGAAGGATAGTCTTCCAACAAATGTGCTGGAACAATTGGATATTCATAGGCAAAAAAAATAAAAAGAAACCCCACCATCTAAACCTTATACCTTATACAGAAATTAACTCAAAGTGGACCATAGATTTAAATGTCAAATGTAAAACTCTAAAACTTAGATAAGGTAGAAAATCTTTGGAACCCAGGGCTTGAAGTGTTCCTAAGGATGACAGTAAAAGCATATTCCCAAGAAAAAAATTGATGAATTAGATTTTATCCAAATTAAAAACTTTTGCTCTTTCAAAGACTCTGTTAAGAATATGAAAAGACAAGCTGAAACTGAGAAAATATTTGCAAACCAACATATCCTGATAAATGACTACTATCTAGAACACAAAAGAACACTCAAAACTCAACAGTAAGAAAAAAAAAATCCAATTAGAAAACAGGAAAAAGGGCTGACCCCGTGGCGCATAAATGACTACTATCTAGAACACAAAAGAACACT